CGAATCTTACGCTGATATGTCTGAACCGTCGGTTCTTCCCGCATCAGCGACATGGATTTCGAGGATGCCACCGCCCGCGCCACCGGTGCCGCCTGCTCGCCGAGAGTCTGCGGCAATAAGGCCCGTGCCTTCTGGAGACGGCATGCCGCCGCCGCAGAAGTCAAGGCGACTTGCGGCTGGGCAAGGTCGTGATGTAACAATTCCCATGGATGGCGCGTCCGTTGCCTTTGTTTCCGTTGCTTCAACCGCTCAGAGGCAGGAAATTGGACGCACCCAGAGAGAATTTGATAACCAATGAGACTGGAAAGTGGGACGCACATGAAACTTACGATCGCGTATATAGTTGGTGTTTCAACATTGCCCCGAAACGCTAAGGGAAAAGGAGAAGGATCAAACAAAAACACGTCGTACATACTATGGAAATCAGAGGCTGATCGAGATTATCTCGACGACTGGTGATGAAATATGGAGGGGCCTTTGATTTACTCGCTCGTCCATGTGAACAAGATGCACATGACAACGATAACGTACGGTTTAACTGTGCATTGCTCGGCGGATACATAACGAAGAAGATCGGGAATAAAAGCCCGATCCCGTAAACCATGCTAATTTGGTGCACTGTATTCTGCGTGGGATATGTCAGTCTGTTTCCACCCGCTTCAAGGGCTTGCCAGGATTAGTTGCGATCTCGCTCCGTGCGCTGTGAAATTTGTTTTTTTGGGTTGGCGCCGGGGAAGGGCAAATTGCCTGGTGATTGCGCGAAGCCGGGTAACTCCTAAAGGGAATTGATGTAAGGCGTACGCATCTTGCCGCGGGAAGATATAATGCAGTTCTTTATTTGCCCGCTTTCCGCCGCCGCCGCCGCCGCCGCGCTCCGCTGCCGCAGGCTGGTCATCGGCATTCATTGTTGATCGTGCGCCGCTATCGTTTGGTTGCGAATAGGTGGGAAATAGGCGCGCCCGCGCGAGAGCGTTCACTTACCGTAGCTTTTGATTAACGGGTTATTATTCAGGAGCCATGTCCACCATGAGAGTCCCAACCAGTGGGAATGGAGAGCAGAGTGGCGTAACAATGGAAAACAGCATCCCGTTTGGCATCTCAGAATGTATAGGAGTCCTGGCCAATTTTTGACGCCTCGCGCATCCCAACCAGCTCATCCAAAACCGACGCCCAGGCGAGTTGAGACGATCAGGGAAGAGTCGGAGCAAGGAGAGGGGCAGCGGCCATCGCTCGAGGGACGACGAGGATGGATGAGGGAGGAGAGAGCAGATGATCAATTTGCTGATGAGGAGGAGCAGGAGGAAGAGGAGAAGGAGGGGGAGGAGGAGGAGGGCGAACATAATTATTTAATCGCTTCGCTCATGCCGCCGGCCCTGGAGCCCTCTTTAGGGCCTCTTGGGGGCCTCTTGGGGACCTCTTGGGAGTCTCTTGGGGCTCCTTGGCGGCGTTTTGGAGGCCCCCAGGGCCTCTTGGGGGGCTCTTGGGGGTAGTCGATTGCGGCTCCCCCCTCGGAGGCCACGATCCTCGTGAGGGGTGTCGAAAAATACCCTCCCCTGGAGTGGTCTGGTGGCTTCTCCCGGGCTTCTCTCGGGACCTTGCCGGGGTACTTTTCGTCCGGGGGCCCCCAGGGGCCGCTCCGCGCGCGCGAACTAGAAATATTGTTAACAAGTTACCGGAGATCTTAGCACGCCTCTGGCCCGTTGGGCCGGCGAATTAGACGCTTCTTGGTTGCCTGTCGGCGTCTTCCAGGATGTCTTTTGAGCGCTTGCGTGCTTCTTGCGTCATCTTGGGAACGTCGTGGCGGGTTTGAGGAATCCTTGGGGCGTTTGGGGTGCATCTTGGAAGCTGACTAGGGCATTTGTGTTTGGGGTGTGGCCCTTGGAAGCACGTTTTTTATCTTTAGGGGGGCCTCTTGGTGGCCCGTTGGGATCTCTTGGGCGCCTTTTCCTATTTTTCCGGCCCCCTTGTCGCAACCAGCACTTTAAAGTTCCAGACCCCCCGGCACAAAAGAAACCCAAAGTGCAAGGACGGCTTGAAAAATCGGATGTTTGGGGGCTTGGCGAAATGACAATAAACGGCGATGGCAATGAAGGTTTACCCCTGATGTCGGCGACAATGACGACGATCATGATGCATCCAGCGGTTTCTGCCGTGCGTGGGCGCCCCAAGTTCGCCTATTGTATTCCTCGCGTTCCCTCATTTGCCTTCGAAGCCCGCCTGCAAGGCAGCTTTCTTTACGCGGAAAGCTGTCACCGCATGTGACGGTGATGGTGGTGATGGAACAAAGAACAGGGCATCGATGGCGACGGCCATGACAAAGACAATTGCGGTGATGGCGATGATGGCGGTGGTAGCAAAGGCAATGATGATGGCGATGTTGATGGAACGGATAGTCATGACGACGATGAAGGTGATTGTAGGCGTTTTTTACATAAAAAAACACATGGCTTCCAAACAACATGTTTGTTAGAATTACAAAAAAACGGACCCGCGATACGATAAATAAGAGATCCTGAGTATTCCCTCCCGTGCGACCCGACAAGGTCGTTCACCACAGGTCTCGTGCAATCACCGACAGGTCGCGCACCACAGGTCGCGTACCATGGGGCAGAAGGTCGCGTACCACAGGTCGCGTGCCACAGGTCGCGATTTGCGAGGGCGTTTACGGGGGGCATCTTCGCGTGCCCAGGGCCGCTTTTGAGCGTCATGGGTGTTGCGAGGATCGTCTCGGGGCTTCTTGGGGATTGTTTGGGAGCCTTTTGGGGGCCTCTTGGAGGCCTCTTGGAGCCGTCTGGGCGCCTCCTGGTGCCCTTTTGGGGTGATCTTGGGGGCTTTCGGGGCGCTCTTGGAGCCAGCTTGGACGACATCGATCAAACAAGAGGGGAGCTTCAATTAGCGTCCCCATTCGGGAGCCCCAGGGATCGCCTTTTGGGACGCTCTTAGAGCGCGTTTTGGCGCTCTTGGGGCCATATTGGAGCCATCTTCAGGCTTCGAAAGGCTATCGAAAGCGGTTGGGCGACGGTGCACAAATCATTGAGTGCCTTTGGGGGTTTGAAGGATTTGGGTTTCTTGGGGGCCTCACTGGAGATCTCGGAGGCCTCTTGGAATCCAAGGCCCGAGCACAACGTTGTACAGTTTGGTGTTTGCCCTTGTTGTGTGTTTCGTTTAGTTGTTCGTTGTTGTTCCGTTGGGTTGTTCGTTGCTGCTTTAAACGCGTTTGAATTTTAGACGTTGTTGTTGGTTCGCGCGTTTCGTTGCCCGTGTTGTTTCGGTGCGTTTCCAAGTTTGTGGTTCGTTTTTCGTTTTGGTTTCCCCGTTCATTCCGCGGCTCGTTTTTTTGTCCGTTTTGTTTCGCGCAGTTTTGGTTTTTGTTTTCGTTTTATTGTTTCGCGTGTTTTGTTTTGTCGCTGTGTCTAATTCAAGCCCCAGCCAGAACCTCGCCCTGGCCCCAGCCGTCGTCCCATGGATTCGTTTTTCGTTTTGTTTCCAGCGCGGTCTGCGAAGCTCGTTTCGTTTTTCGCTTCGTTTTCTCTATGAGCGGTGGCCTCGTTTCGTTGTTCGGTGTCGGTTGCGCTGGTTTCGTTTTAAACGTTCGTTGTACAACGGTCGGATTCGTTTTGTTTGTCGTTCTAACGCCGACGCGTTTGAACCATCGTTGTGCTCAGGCCTTGTTGGAATCACCTTGGAAAGCTCTTGGGGCCTCTTGGAGCATGTTGGAAGCCATATTGAGGCATTTTGCGTTATCTTGAGCCATCTTGGAGGTCGTCTTGGGCCTTCTGAAGCCCTCTTGGAGCCGTCTGGGCCATCTTGGACGCTCCAACCGCTCGCGAACCCCCCCGTCCAGGTCCAGTGGAAGGGGTAGGGAGAGTGGTCAAGCGACCCACCCGCCCGAAAGCCGTCCAGCTCACTCCCACCCGCCCACCCAGTACATCAATAACACCCGAGCCTGAGCATGTTCAGCGGTCGTCTTTGGATGGACAGCTACTGGGAACCAAAGCCGACCGACCCCAGGTGCGGGACGCTTGGGCGAGGTGCGCCACGCGTGCCAGTCCTCACGCGCGCCAGGCACCCCTGGGGCCCGAGCGTGCCAGGCACGCCTGGTGCGCCAGATGCGCCACGGGCTCGCAATGCGCCAGGTGTGCCGAACACTCCAGCCGCGCCACGTTCAGGGCAAATGCAGAGTGCGTCAGGTGCGCCTGCGCACGTGACAGCACACATCGGAAAACATGTCGCCCCCCAACATCCTGGTCGGAAACCAATGCCCATAGTGTGTTTGGTGGGCCTGCGCACATCAGGCCACGCGCCAGCACCCCCCCGTCCTTGTCAAAAACCACTTGACAGTGATCGCGGGGTGGCCGCGCATGATCCAGATTTGCCGCGAGGTGGATTATGGATTGCTTTTGTCAGGGATGGTAGCCCTGCGCACAGCAAGGAATCGGCTGATACCCCCGCCGCCCTTGGCAAACACAACACGAAGTGTTCGCGGGCCTCACGAACATGACTCAAGACTTTGCCTCAAATTGTACTTTCTATTGTTTTGTGGACAGGGAGTGCGGGGGGTGGGCGCATCGGGTTGGCCGCGCATGCTCCAAATGTGAATGCGGAGTGCGTTTTGTATTGCTTTTTGAAAGGGATGATGGGTGGGCGGCCCGCATGGGGTCGGCATGGTTCTGGGTTGGCCGTCGGCCGGGTGGGGAAGGGGGTGCATATTCATAGGGAACAGTGATCGATCCCTCCCCGCAGGGGGGAAATAGTAGGATTGGGAAAAAAGCGCTCTAGGCCACCTACGCCCAGAGGGCTGGTATGATAACTATCTTGACCTCTGTCCGTTGCGCCTCCGCTCACCCGTCACCGTCCCGCTCACAATGTATCAGTCTCTCTGAGGTGTGCAGCATGGCAGGAGATAGCTGAAGACAGCCCTGGATACGAGCACTGTCGCATTTGTGTCTGCCTTTGAATGCGGTCATCCTTCTTTGCCCTTGTGCCGCACAAGCGCGAAGGCACGGCATCCTCTTGTACGGTCCTCCCGGCACTGGGAAGGATCGCGATTTCTGGCAGCCTTCTCGTTGTCCTGTGACGCAGCAGGTCGGTCTCCGCCCGTGTGCCCTGGAGCCGTCTCTTTCACGCAGCACCTCCGACTGCATGTGTTGTCTTTTCCTTCTTCGTATGGCACACAGATCTCTGAGTGTGATGGCTGTTCCTCCTGCGCTCCATGTCGGGTTCGTTGTATTCCACCATCTGGCCATGGGAACAATGACAATGTTGCCAGCTGGTTACCCGAGAGGCGAATCTTTAAACGAGCGCTACAAAAGGACATCGCCAGATATTAACGATCTGCGCTGCCCTCATCTCCGCCGTGCCTCCCAGGAGCCTTTAAAAGTGCGACAGTTGCGCAGTCCGTACCCTCTCAGGGAGCCGCGGGGTCTCCGCTGGATCCGCGTGGCCCCCGACTCCGCTGGACTTCCCAGGAGCCCACGATAAGCGCGCCGTTTGCGCAGTTCGCAGCCACCCAGGGAGCTACGATGTCTCGGGTACTCCGCTACTCCGCCGTGCCTCCCAGGAACCCACGAAAGTGGCGACAGTTGCGCAGTTCCCAACCGCCCAGGGAGCTGCGATGTCTCGGGTACTCCCCGACTCCGCCGTGCCTCCCAGAAACCCACGAAAGTGGCCACAGTTGCGCAGTTCGCAGCCACCCAGGGAGCAGCGCAGGAGGAGGCAGGAGGAGGGGGGAGAAGGAGGATGAAGGTGTGCGACCGCCGTGCTCTAGTTATTCAAAACGAGAACCCGACACATGAGGGTTGGGAAGAAGTAGTGATCTAGTGTCATGGCGCCAGCATCCCAGAGCGGGTGTCGTTCGGAAAACAATGGGATGGGCCCGGATTGTCCTGGAGAATGTCGTTCCTGATTTTGAAGTGAATGTCGTGCGGATTTCGTTGGGCCGGGACTGAAGACTACAAGAAATCCACGTCGGTTTTCGCTCCCCGTTGCGGGGTTTGCATTGACAGAAATCCGCGCAAAAATCCGCTGCAGCACGTCTGCAAGCCCAGAGTAGTGACTAGTGGTCGCAGTCATCTCACAGCGGACCCTGTCCGGGGCCGCCTGGCCAGGCCCATGACAACCGTACACAGTGGAGACCCATGCCAAGAGACATCCTGCTTGCCTCCAGGGTGCCCTGGGTTTCTTGGGTTTCGATGGTGTTGCTATGGAAAGCGTGACGTTCCCACACCAAAAATGAATGGACGTCCTGGGGTCTCAGGGTTGGGTTTCTCGTCAAAGGTTTCTGGTGGTCGAGCCCCAATTGTATGGTGTGACGGGCCTCTGGGAAGCGTCCCCATGGGCCTCTCCGCCGGCGCTCCGGGCCCCCGGAGAAAGCGCCAGGAAGCCCGGAGAGGGCACGGACAGTGCGACCGGAGGTTCCGAAGAGAGCTTGGAGGGTGAAAGAGGGGGTCTGCAACAGGGGGTCTTCAATGGGGGCTGAATGGCCCATGTATGCTCAATGTATCGCTCATGTATGTGAACGGGTACGATTGGCATCCAATGTTGGCGGTCATTGAGGGCCAGTCGTTCGTGCCCGCGCGTTGCCCGCGCGGGCACACGCGCCGTCCATCCATTATCGTTCATGCGTGCGGGGGTTCTTGCATATTGCGCGTGGGGCAGCGAAGTGGAGTGCAAGTGTGTCTTGATTGTGCGATTGATGATCGTGTATGTTCCCAAACGATGACTTCTCGACCCCCAAGACAGATTTGGAATGGGGCCCACTTTTCCCCCAAAATGTGAATTCACATTTTCCTTTATCCCAAAATGTGAATTCACATTTTCCTTTTTCCCAAAATGTGAATTCACATTCTGGCCCCTTTCATCAAGAATCTTACACAAAATTCCAAAATGTGAATTCACATTTTCCTTTTTTTCCAACATGTGAATTCACATTTTCCTTTTTCCCAAAATGTGAATTCACATTTTGCTTTCCCCCACAATGTGAATTCACATTTTGCCCTGGCCTTCAAGATCCCCAACGCTGAGGCGTTTTGTTCCGCATGTCAGATTGGCTGGGCAGATTTCGACACTCACCTGACCGCTTTCGTGTGTTCCAGCCTTTTCTTTTTGCGCCCTCAGCGCACGTTGCCTTCGTCGCCTTTCCCGAGCCCCCCGCCCCCTTGCTTCCTTTCCTTTCAAGTAATTATCGCGCATGGGTGCAAGCGGGGGGCTTCCATTAGTTCCCCCGCCGACCGCAACAATCGAGGATGCAAGAGCCCACTTCGGGGCACGAGGGACGCGGGTCAATGCAAACGTTAAGTCGGGCGTGTCCTTCCACAGGAGGAAAATTCAAAAATAATCCCAAATAGTCGGGAGACGATTCTTCTGTTTGATTGTTTGATCAGTTGTTTTTAATATGTTGTTTGATCACTTTTCATTCCCAACCATCCTGTCGTGCTGGGTCATCGTTTTGAACAGAGAGCGCCCCGCGTCTCACCTCACCTCACCTCACGCGCTCCTCCCCCTCCTCCCCTCACTGCCTCTGCTCTCTCGCACGCCCATTTCGGCGCACCCTCACACGGTTCGTGGCCACATACTAGGGTGATCCGCCGAAGGCCCCAGTAGCAGGGTCCGCATACAGTTCCACCCCCATGTCAGTGCACCCTTCGCACGCTTGGTGGCTCCATCGGGTGCTCCACCCAAGGCCCCAGTGGCAGGTTCCGCATGCAGTTCCACCCCTATTTCGGCGCACCCCTCACACGTTTCGTTGCCCCGCAGGGTGTTCCACCCGAATGCCCCAGTGGCAGGGTCCGCATGCAGTTCCACCTTCATTTCGGCGCACCCCTCACACGTTTCGTGGCCCCGCAGGGTGCTTCGCCAAAGGCCCCAGTGGCAGGGTTCGCATGCAGTTCCACCTCCAGCGCGGCGCACCCCTCACACGTTTCGTGGCCCCATAGGGTGCTCCGCCGAAGGCCCCAGTGGCAGGGTCCGCATGTAGTTCCGCCCTCAATTTTGGCGCACCCCTCGCACGCTTCGTGGCTCCATAGGGTGCTCCACCCAAGACCCCCGGCGCCGGATTTTGCAGGATCTTGCATAGCCACGGTCGCATTGACCTGGGCTTGGGTGCAGGATCCTGCACAATCCTGCAGGATCTTGCAGGATCTTTCAAAGCCTGACTGACCCGTGTTTGGATTGACCAGGGTCAGTAGAGAAAGTTTCCAAAACGCTCAAGACGGTCCAAAACCTTTGCCCACCCGTTTACAAAACAGGCCCATGGCCAGTAACGGGTTGCTTTTCAATCCCAGGACTTCTTGAGAGTCGGGGGCGAATGTCGGGGTGGTGTGGTGTATTTCCCAACCATCCTGTGGTGTTGGGTCACTGTTTTGAAAAGACAGCGCCCGCGTCTCCTCACTCACTCCTCCTCCCCCCTCTCCCCATCCCCTCACTGCCTCTGCTCTCTCGCATGCCCATTTCGGCGCACCCCTCACGCGTTTCGTGGCCCCGCAGGGTGCTCCGCCGAAGGCCCAAGTGGCAGGGTCCGCATGCAGTTCCACCTCCATTTCGGCGCACCCCTCGCACGTTTCGTGGCCCCATAGGAGGCTCCACCGAAGGTCCCAGTGGCAGGGTCCGCATGCAGTTCCACCCGCATATCGGCGCACCCCTCGCACGTTCCGTGGCCCCACAGGGTGCTCCACCGAAGGCCCCAGTGGCAGGGTCCGCATGCAGTTCCACCCCCATGTCAGTGCACCCCTCACACGTTTCGCGGCCCCACAGGGTGCTCCACCGAAGGCCCCCATATGGCAGGGTCCGCATGCAGTTCGACCTTCATGTCGGCGCACCCCTCACACGTTTCCTGGCCCCACAGGGTGCTCCGCCGAAGGCCCCAGTGGCAGGGTCCGCATGCAGTTCCACCTCCAGTTCGGCGCACCCCTCACACGTTTCGTGGCTTCGCAGGGTGCTCCGCCGAAGGCCCCAGTGGCATGCAGTTCCACCTGCATCTCGGCACACCCCTCGCACGTTTCATGGCCCCATAGGGCGCTCCGCCCAAGGCTCCAGTGGCAGGGTCCGCATGCAGTTCCACTTCCATGTCGGCTCACCCCTCACACGTTCTGCGGCCCCACAGGGTGCTCCGCCGAAGGCCCCCGTGGCAGGGTCCGCATGCAGTTCCACCTTCATTTCGGCGCGCCCCTCACACGTTTCGTTGCCCCGCAGGGTGCTCCGCCGAAGGCCCCAGTGGCAGGGTCCGCATGCAGTTCCACCTCCAGTTCGGCGCACCCCTCGCACGTTTCGTGGCCCCTGTGTTCTCAGAAGCCCCAGTGGCAGGTTCCGCATGCAGTGCCACCCGCATTTCGGCGCACCCCTCACACGTTTTGCGGCCCCATAAGGCGCTCCGCCGAAGGCACAGTGGCAGGGTCCGCATGCAGTTCCACCTCCATTTCGGCGCACCCCTCACACGTTTCGTGGCCCCACAGGGTTCTCCGCCGAAGGCCTCAGTGGCAGGGTCCGCATGCAGTTCCACCTCCAGTTCGGCGCGCCCCTCACGTTTCGTGGCCCCATAGGGAGCTCCACCGAAGGCCCTAGTAGTGAGTGGCAGCGCCCGCACGCGGTTCCACCCTGCATTTCGGCGCACCCCCCACACGTTTCGTGGCCTCACATGGGGTTCCACCGACGGCTCCGGTGGCAGCGTCCGCATGGCGTACCCGGGTCAATTTTGGCACACCCGTCACACGCGTCGTGACCCCAGATTGATCCACCGAGGTCGATACCCACAACTGCGTTACACAAAGCTGCACATGGTTGGGTCCCTCGCCAAGATGATTTTATTATGTTTCCCGGAGAAACAACCAAACATTTATACACCAGGATCCCGTATACACCAGGAACAGTTTTCTTGTGCAAGTGTCAGTGCAGTAGAGCGTACTTGCCTGAGATTCCCCCAGACGCCTCTAAGATCGGCCCCTCGTGGGGCATCACAAAAATAAATTACTTGATGCAATACTGGATCCTTTAGTTGTTCTGGAGTTGGGGCCAACAAGGGCGCCCGATAGCCAATCTACAGGGGACGATATTCTAAGCGTGCGTGTGACGAGCGGAGGGAGGTCGGCCTTCGAAAATACGAAAGACCTTGCCCGACAACAGATGAGCATTCTAGCACGCCCTCGTGCTGCTGGCACAGTGGCGACTACGTGTTGGCTCTTGTGGAGGCGGCCGCGAGTGCTTCGGTGGGTATGTATTCGCAGCTCGCCTGTGCGGCAGTAGCCCAGCGAGAGCGGGAGGAGGATCACGAGGCTGACCGACGGCGCGCAGCGTCCGGCCCTCCGTGAGGTGCATCCTTCCGCTCCGTGGACCGGTCTTTGCTCCCGTGGCGCCCATGGATCAGGAGGGAAAAAAACACACAGACACAATGAATCGTCGATTCCCCAGAAAATATAGGAAAATATGGGAAGTGGGGGGGAAGACAAAAACCCAGAAAATATAGAAAAGTATGGGGAATCCTGTTATTTGTATGTATTTATTCAATCGCTTCGCTCATTCCGCTGGCCCATGTTGCATGATTGCTACTGCTTCGCCGTGGGCCCGGGGCCATTGTGGCGCCGCCGAGGAGGAGGAGGAAGATGAGAATGGGGAAGGGGAGGGGAGGAGGAGGAGAGGATGAGAAGGAGAGGAGGAGGATGAAGATAAGTAGGAGGAGGAGGAGGAGGAGGAGGAGGAGGAGGAGGAGGAAGGGGAAGGGGCGGAGGAGGAAGCCTCTCGTTGGCATCTTGTGTTGCTCTTGGGGCCAAACAGGGTCGTCGTCAAGATGCTTCTTTGGGAGGCCTCTTGAGGTCTTTTGAGAAGCCGTTCGGGGGCGCCTGGGAGGCATTTTTGAACTTCTGGGGCCTCTTTTGGGCCTCCTGGGGGCCTCTTGGGGGCCTCTTGGGGGCCTCTCGCGGCCTCCTGGGGCCCTCTTGGGGCGGAAGGCTCGAGTTTTCGGTTCGTGGTCCCACTCTTGGGCCCCTCTGGGGCCGTCTTGGGGCCGTCTTGGGCCGTCTTGGGCGCCTCTTGGGCCGTCTCGGGGCCCTCTTGGGCCCTCTTAGGGCCCTCTTCAAAGCCTCTTGGCCCGTCTTGGGGCGCACTTGGGGGCCTCTTGGGCCGTCTTGGAGCATCGGATGGCCGAAACGGCGACAAGGCCAACATCCTTCCAAAACCATCGTATATGTAATGATTTGGGCATCTCGGGCCCTCCTGTGAGACCTCTTGGAGGCAACTTGGAGGCCTCTTGGGCCGTCTTGGGGTCATCATCGGCGTCTTGGAGCGCTCCTTGGGCGTCTCGCTCGGGGGCCTCTTGGGCAGTCTTGGGGACCTCTTGGGTCAGGAGGGGGGGTAGTCGATTGCGCCCCTCCCCTCGGAGGCCACGATCCTCGTGAGCGGTGTCGAAAAATTGCCCAGTCTGGCATCTCTGATCCGAGTGTCCCGGGGGTGTCCCAGGGGGTGTCCCGGGGTACGTTTCGTCCGGGGACCCCCAGGGGCGGCCCCGCGCGCGCGCGAACTAGAAGATTGTTAACCAGTTACCCGAGATCTTCTCAGGAGGGAAAGAAACACACAGACACAATTAATCGTCGATTCCCCCGAAAATATGGGAAAATATGGGAAGTGGGGGGGAAGACAAAAACCCAGAAAATATGGGAAAATATGAGGAATTATTTTATTTGTGTGTATTTATTTGTGTGTCCCAGGGCCCCTTCATCTTCGCACGCCCTGGGCCCGTTGGGCCGGCGAATTTGTGTGCCCCGGGGCCCCCTCCATGGAAGCGGCAGGCCCAGGCCTCTCCGCGCTCCGAGCTCGCGTGGCCCCTCGGCCCTGCCTCCGGGATGGCACCGCGGGGCCCGCACGGGGCCTGCCGGGGCCCGGGCGCCGCAAAGCTGAAGAGCACGTCGGCGTCGCAGCCGCTCGCAGAGTCTGGAGGCACTCGAGAGAGAGAGAGAGAGAGAACGCCGGCATGCACTCGACGAGTGTTCGACGGCCCGCGCGGATCTCTCGGGGATCTGCGCTGGGCTTCCTGGCGGCGCCTCCGGCGCTGCCCCCGGAGCGCTCCGCGGGCCAGGGAGGGGAGGCCCGCGCAGACCCAAGAAGTCCGCGCAGATCCAGTCGAAAGCTCGTGCTCATGCAGTTCTTCCTCTCTCGAGGCATGGGTGATGATCGTGCACGGGGCAGCCAGAAAGCCAGGAACAGAACCCCGAAGCAGAAGACGCTCCGCCTCCTCCTCCTCCTCCTCCTCCTCCTCCTCCTCCTCCTCCTCCTCCTCCTCCTCCGGGTCGTCGGGCAGGCTGGCTGCCTGTCTCTGGCAGGCCTCATTGAGCCTCTTCCTGTTGGCCTGGAGCCTTGCTCTCGGAGTCCCTTCTTCGGTATCTGGAGCCTCCTCCCCCGCCTCCTCCTCCTCCTCCTCCTCCTCCTCCTCCTCCTCCTCCTCCTCCTCCTCCTCCTCCTCCTCCTCCTCCTCCTCCTCCTCCTCCTCCTCCTCCTCCTCCTCCTCCCCCCCCGTCTCGCGCCCAGGCCGGCTGGAGAGCCAGAGGCAGAGGGCGCAAGTTAAAAGGCGCTCCAAGTCCTACCTCGCAAAGGCCACCGCCACGGAGGCGCGCCGCGGGCGTGGGCGGGCGCCCCGTTGGGTGGTGCCCCTGGCCAGCGGCGGGCCCCGCGGGTGGCCATCAGGGGGGATGAGTGGGGGAGTGGAGTGGAAGTCGGACCAGGAGGGAAGGCGGGAGATGGATGAGAGAGAGAGGAGGAGGGGGAGGAGGAGGGGGAGGAGGAGGAGGAGGAGGAGGAGGAGGAGGAGGAGGAGAGGAGGAGGAGGAGGAGGAGGCAAAGGAGGAGGAGGAGGAGGAGGAGGAGGTGGAGGAGGAGGAGGAGGAGGTTTCCTCCTCGTCCTCCTCCTCCTCCTCCTCCCTCGCTGGGTCCTCGAGCACCAGGAGGAGACAGCAGCAAGAAGAGGAGGACGGTGGAGGCGGGAGGAGGGGAGGAGCAGCAGCAGCAGGGAGCAGGAGCAGGAGGAGTGACGAAGGATCCCTGGAGCGCCAGCTTCGGGCGACTGGGACCGCCCCGCGGCCCCGCGGGGCAGCTGGTGACCGGGGCGCTGCCCGACCGTGGGGTCCAGGGCGCCGCGAGGAGGAAGGGGGCGTGCAAGAGGTGGGCGAGGACGTGGCGTCGCTCGGACATGGGTGGTTTCTCTCAGCAAGGGCCTTCGAGGAGCATGTTGGGTCATCTTGCAGACAAAGCGCGCACGAGGCCGGGAAAAGAGCGCGCGGGGAGTGGACGTCCGAGCGATGGCGAGATGGTTCGGGGTCAGGATCTAATGACTGGGGCCATGAGATCTCCCCGGATTTCACGGCTCTGCTTCGTTCGACGTCCATTGGCCCCTCACCCTGAGCCGCGCACATGCCCCCAGCCATGATTTGCGAATCCACCTCTTGGAAGGCGCCCCCCAAGGGGGAGGAAGAGGGTCGGGTCGAACGAGGGCGGAGAATGGGGAAATGAGGTCTGCTGCATGCGGCACGCGTGCGGTACGCATGCAGCAATCATTCTCCTGCACGCTTCCGGATTCGAAGCCTGCTGCTGGGGATTGGTTGCACGCCACCGGTTTCGGACCCGCCGCCCAGGCGCTTTGCTCGGTGCACGGCCGTCCCCAGCAGCGCGGGGAGGCGCCAGGGAAGTAAGCCACACGAGATGGTTCGCTTCTGCCCCCATTCATTGCCCCCCACTTTCGTGCGCGCCGAGGGGAGGAGGATTGCAGTCCAGTGCGAATGCCCTCGAGGGTAGGCATGACCGTGTGAAGGTGCTCGTGAAGGTTGGGATGACAACCTTCTGGTCCCAGAGCCTGTGCTGGGACCTGTTGCTGTTGGAGGAGGAGGATCCTGGCGTCAGACGTCGTTCTTTCCGTTCGCCGCGCTTCTCAAATCTCGGCCTCTGGAGGCCGTTCTCGTGCCCCGGCACCGTGGTAAGAGCTGTCCACAATGAAACGTTGTCCTTTCAGAAGCTGGACATCTGTCAGAAGCCAGACGAAGGCTGGCAGACCCGTGGCTGCTAAAACGGAGCTCCGGGAAATTGTTTCTTCTTCCGGGAAGCAGACCGTTTCTTATTCAGCGCGCTGAGTTTCATTCCGGGATTTGTTCTCTTCTGGGGAGACCGTTTTAGCAGCCCCAGATTTGCCAGCCTTCGCCCAGGTTCCGAATGTGGGCGCCCCCTGTTGTGAAGGCCTTGCGGCCTGTGCCGCTGACCCGGAGGGACGACGACGACGACGGCCACGACGATGCCAACGGCGACAGCGACAATCACGAGCTGATGGCCCTGCCACAGGCTCGGGACATCGGGGTCTGGAGCGAGGAGGAGGAGGCGGAGGAGGAGGAGGAGAAGGAGGAGGAGGAGGAGGAGCAAAAGGAGGCGGAGGACGAGGAGGAGAAGGAGGAGGACGACTGCAATTCCCAATGTAGGAATAAGAAGAGAAGGAGGAGGAGGAGAAGGAGGAGAAGGAGGAGGACTCATCAACGATGTAGGAATCCATCCGCCCTCCAAACTCCCTCTTCACAGGCCCCTACAGGGATTCATGTCCACGAGGGGAGTGCCCCGTTAGGGGACAGCCGTGTGAAAATCTTGCACGAATCAACCTGGCTGTTGCCTTTTGGCGGTCCTGAATCATTCAAAAACACCACACTCCTGGGATTTCAACGCCACGAATCAACGTAAGTGTCGCGCCCTGGCAATCCTGACTGGTTCCAACACGGTCTCTTGTACGTGAACTATGATAATCAGTGGAATAGTTGCAACATGTTAACGATGAATGAGCGCGGCGCTGGGGCGAGAACCACGTTTTGAAAGCTAGCCGCCCTCAATCCGTTAAGCGCTTGCAAACGTTTCAAACGAATGTGTTCGGCGATAACGCGAGAGCCATCAATCTGCGAAGCTCTTGTCGATTGTTTCAGACGTGTGCGCACGGCGCTAAGGCGGGAGGCGCATTCTGGAAGCGACCCGCGCTTCATCTGTGAAAAAGGATGCCAGGCCTTAAGCTTGAGGCTTATATCTGCTAAAGACGTCTCAGGCGAAACGCCTGGCCCACCTTTCCGACTGGCCTCCAGTCGCGACAGGGAGGAGTGATTCATCAGGACAAGGAACGGAGCAGGGGGGGGGGGCATTTGATGAGAGGCGGCACCAGAGGTCTTGGGATTGGAGATCATGGGGTTTGCTTTCTTGGTTTCGATTCTCGGGAATGCTTCTCCTCGCCACGCGTGGATCAGGCTCGCTGTTCTGGTCAGAACGAAACCTTGATGATGTCCAACGGTCAAACGCGGGAGGGGGAGGAGGACCCATTTTCTCTTGGGCCGTGAAACAAAACACGACGGAACGTTCTTGACAATTTGCGGCGACGGGCCCCAGCACCGCCAAAGAAACGGCTTGGCTTCGAGTGCTCAGCAAGTCCCAGGGAAGCCTTCGAGACAGTTGCGGGGCCCACGTCTAGGATTACACCAGAGAAAACCCTAACCAGTGGATTGTTGTATTTTTCGCAGGTGCCTCAATCGGCCCTCCTCCCGCCCTCGCCGAAGTCGAATATACATCTAGTTCAGTCTAGTTGTTATGGGTTCTCTCTCTCTCTCTCGCTCTGTCTCTTTCTGTCGAGATGTCTCTTTTGATGTTCCCTTTTTCCCCAATCATCCTGTGTTGGGATCTAGTTTTGAGGAGACAGCGCCCCGCGTCCATCTCTCCTCTCCTTCCTCCTCCCTCTCCTTCCTCCTCCTTCCAGCATCATCATCATCATCATCATCATCATCATCATCATCATCATCATCATCATCATCATCATCATCACCAGTGTCTGTAGCGCTCATGCCTAGAAGTCGGAAGTTGCGGGCCAATGTTCAGTTGAGGCATTCTGACAGAATTTTCAACTATTTGCGTAGCCCCCAGTGTGGCGCCATTTGTTTATGTTGCGTCTCTGCGGTCCCTGTGTAGCAGTTTGAGCACCACTGCCAGGTTTCACGAGGGCCGTCAGGTGTGTAGATTTGGTTGCCACACGATGGGAGGCGACAGTGTCCTCCACTATCTTTCGTGTCCGTTGCTGCTCGCTCAGCTTCCCTGTCTCCTCCCTGGTGCTCCCGACGATTCTTGCGAGTGGTCGCCCGAAGATAGACTGCTGCCCTGGTCTCGGCCGCACCCGGAGGCCGTGGCTCTGAAACCCTCCCTGCTGGCGCATGACCTTGCAGTTTCAGCGTTCAATGTCTTGCGAGCCCGCGAAAAAATGAGACTTAACTTCTTTCAACATTGCTCTCTGCGAGAGCGCGGGCCGTCGCCCAGAAGGGGAAGGCGGCTCGGGCCCTTTTTGAAGAGACCTGGACATTGAAGGGCGAGTGGAACATCATCATCATCATCATCATCACCATCATCACCATCATCACCATCATCACCATCATCATCTCATCATCATCACAGCACCATCATTATCATAACCATCATCATCATCAGCATCATCATCATCACTACCATCATCATTACTATCAAATTCGCCATCGTAATCGTAATCACCATCGTCATCACCATTACGGCCGTCATCATCACCATCATCGTCATCGTTCCCCGCCAAGTCCTGCACGCCCTCACACGGTTCGTGGTTCCATAGGGATCTCCACCGAAGGCCACAGTAACAGGGCTCGCGTGCAGTTCCACCCCCATGTCGGCGCACCCCTCACACGGTTCGTGGCCCAATAGGGAATTCCACCGAAGGCCACAGCGGCAGAGTTCGCATGCAGTTCCACCTTCATTCCGGCGCACCCTTCACTCGGTTCGTGGCCTCGTAGGGGATTCCACCGAAGGGGCCCAGTGGCAGGGTTCGCGGGCAATCCCACCCTCATCTCGGCGCACCCCTCACACGGTTCGTGGCCCCATGGGGAGCTCCACCGAATGCTTCCGTTGCAGGGATCGCATGCAGTTCCACCCATTTCGGCGCACCCTTCACACTGTTCGTGGCCCCGTAGGAAGCTCCACCGAAGGACACATTGGCAGGGCTCGCATGCAGTTCCACCCTCATTTCGGCACACCCCTCACACGGTTCGCGGCCCCATAGGGAATTCCACCGAAGGGGCCCAGTGGCAGGGTTCGCGTGCAGTCCCACCCTCATGTGGGCGCACCCTTCACACGGTTCGTGGCCCCACAAGGAGGTCCACCGAATGTTTCGGTGGCAGGGTCCGCAGGCAGTTCCACCCCCATCCTGGCGCACCCCTCACACGCGGCTCGTGGCCCCATAGGGAACTCCACCGAAGGCCCCACTGGCAGAGTTCGCATGCAGTTCCGCCCTCATTTCAGTGCCCCTCTCACACGGTTCGTGGCCCCATAGGGAGTTCTATCGAAGGCCCCAGTGGCAGGGTTCGCGTGCAGTTCCACCTTCATGTCGGCGCACCCCTCACACGGTTCGTGGCCCCATAGGCAGCCCCAGCGAAGGCCACCGCGGCAGGGTTCGCATGCAATTCCGCCCTCATCTCGTCGCACCCCTCACACGTGGTTCGTGGCCCCATAAGGGGATTCCACCGGAGGTCCCCGTGGCAAGGTCCGCATGCAGTTCCACCCTCATTTCGGCGCACCCTTCGCACGGTTC